GGGCGGCTGGGCGGGTGCGCGGGGCCGCAGGCGCGGGCGTGGGCTCATCGCGGGCGGGCGGCGGCCTCGGGTGCGCCCGCCTCAGCCTCCGCAGCCAGGCAGCAGGCGGGCGGGCGGGCTCATCTTCCCTCTGCTCTCCCGCGGCCGGTCACATGGATCCCGCGAGCCGCTGCCCAGGCCGGCCGCGGACGCACGGACGCACGGACGGACGGGCGGACGCGGCACGGCCCCTCCCGCCCGCCGCGGGCTCTGCAGTCTGAGAGCCGCAGCGAGCGGCGCAGCCCGTCTGGAGGCTGGACGCACCGAGCGAGCGCAGCCCCGCGCGCTCACGCACCGTCAGCGCCGTGCGTTTCGGGCGCTGCGGTCGCCCCGCGCGAGGCCCCCTGGCTTTCAGCCGTTTCCCGGCCGGGGGTGACCACGCGGAGGGTGCTGGCGGAGCCGGGGGCCCTGCAATAAATGCTCGCGGTTCTGCTAGCGTGGGCAGCTATCCGGTTCCAGAGGCACAGACTCCGAGAATAAATAAAGTCCAGTTCATTTGCCTGGTGGGAACGCTGCTCCCAGTCCCCGCGGCTACTGCAAAGGATGCCTGTGACTGCGGGGGCTGATTTTTAATTCCCTGAGATACATGGTAGGAGACAAACACAAGCAGCTCTAACGTTGCCCTCTGAATGGTGCATATTTAAAAACTGATTAAGATTGCTGAGCGTGTGTGTAATCCCAAACCTGGAACCGACCCCTGCCACATGTTTGGGCGAAGCCAGGACAGCTCGTTGCTGATGTTCTCTGTGAGGTTCTTGAAGTCATAATAATATTCAAATAAGGTTCGTGGCTTTGCGGAAATCATGACTTGCAGGGCTGGAAAGCACCCCGATTTCAGATCAAGACAGGATGCTCAGAGGGGCGTGCTGAGTACAAGGAGGCATTTGGGGGCAGGGACGGGCGGTCTCCTGGGAGGTGAGTGGACCGGTGCGCTGGGGTCTGCGGCCGGGCTGCACGGCCCTCCGCCTCAGACACCCTCACAGACCTCGCAAAATAACAGGAAAAGCAAGTGGCGAGGCAGGAACAAAATGGTGCTTTACCAGGGCCCGGCACAAGATGGCCAGGCCCCGAGTAGAGGAGGGTCAGCTGAGCCGAGCGCGCTGGCTGCCGGCCTCTGCAGCTGCAGGTGGTCACGTGGCGCTGCCCACTCAGGCTGGCCTCGCGCTGTGCCGCTCTGGAACCCAGTGTACCCTGGCTTTGCCTGCACCGGGGTTCCCCTCCTGGGTCCTTCCCCAGTGCAGTCCAGGAAGGCAGGCAATGGGCCTGCTTTCTGTTCCTGCCCTGAGTCGGAACCCCCATTCGCATTGTACGAGCTTTTCACTGCACACCTGCAGTCTGAGTAGTTAGGGGTCTGACACATGCCAGGGTGGGCCAGGGCTCTCGAGTGTTACACGAGCCTCCTGCAGAATGCAAATGATCAGAGCTCCTACTCTGAAGCTGTAAAGCTCTGGTGCCACATGCCCATGCCCAGCGCGTGGCATTGTGGCCAGGAACGGCTAGGGTCTCACTGAGTTTGGGTGTGGGGCCGGCTTCCACATTTGGGGGAGCCCAGTGTAACATGAAAACAGAGGGTTCCTGTTTCAAAAAAAGAAATAAAGCTTCATTCAAGTCCAAATGTGGAAAACTCTGTCGTTTTGGTGAATCATGTGTCTTTTACCTGCTGCTTTGTGCCTCCTCCCACCGGGCACTGGAATGGTCTGGGGAGATGAGCCCTCCATGATGCCAGGGCTCCTCTGGAGAGTCAAGGCAGCACCAGCGGCCCACACCTGTCCCGGTTGCTTTGCTGCCCTCTGCACACACGTCCCATGCCCTGGGACCAGCCGAGCTTGGAGAGACAGGGAAGCAGTCCTGTACTGGGACCAGAGAGGGGTCGGGGGCCCATTGGCTTGGGCAGCATGCTAGGACAGTGCCAGCTTGGGGCAGGGACATCAGCTGCCAAGCTCCTCCCTGACACACAGCAAACACCTGACCACAATGCTCCAGATCCCCATGGCAGGGGCGCAGCTGAGGGCCCTCCCGAGGGGGCGGTGCTGGCAGGATGGAGCAGGCAGCAAGGCTCCATCACCCAACAGGTGTAGAAAACATAAACCCAAAGATACTACTATTAGAAATTCCAAGATGGCAGCTGCAGAGCATGCCGCCCTGTGCAAGCCCATTGGAGCTCGGGGCCTAATGGGACCCTCAGAAGGGTCCTGGTGCTACCCCAGGAAGCCAGCAGGATATGTCATATTCTCTTTGCTGGGTCAAAATACCAACACTTCAGTTTGAAGAAGGAGAGCCTTACTTTGGCTCACAGTGTCAGTGGGTTCAGTCCATGGGACCCACCCCCAACCGGGCCCCGCCTCCTGACAGCTTGTTCAACCATGGGTACAAATTTCCTTCCCAAGGCTCCACCTCTGAACACATGGGACTTCCGGGGGACATCTGAAATCCAAACCCTAACCAGCCCTCCGGTTCACCATCGAATGGTTGTGTGAGAGCTCTAGAGTGGGCCTTACTTGTGCCCCAAACTCCCACCTCAGCATCTTTATGTAACGTCCTTCGCTGGGAAACGGTAGGGAAGTAGCCATGGGTTGGACTCTCCCTGCCGATCGGTGAGCATCCCCACGGCCTGGCGTGGGCAGCACCCGGTAGACTGGAGTAGAGATCCCTGCTGCAGGTAGAAAGCAGAGCCGGCCCTAGCCTGTGTGCAGCACAGAGAGCTGTGGAGACTCAGGTAGACATGGGAGGTTTTCCTGAGACACGGGTGGTAGGGACACCTCAGGCTCGGATTCAGGCCAGCCAGCAGCTGCACACAGACATCAGGGAGCAGGTGAAGCCTCCTGCCCGAAGCAGGGGCTCAGACGTCAGCCTGGGTCTCAGTTTCCCCTTAGGGAGAATGGATCCATAACACTTGCCCTTCTGAGCCCACAGATCAGCGAGACAATGTGACAAGACACGGGGAAGGGCTCAGAGAACTACACGGGGTGTCACTGCTGTCTACAATGGACCTAGGGGGACACGGAGTGAGGACGGGACCTGACAGTGACTCCTCCGACTGAAGGGTGTTTGGATTTCGGGAACCCAGGCATGATCACCCCTGCAGTTGAAAATGCAGAGGTCGGAGATGACCAAGGACGCTGGCAGTGACTGTCCCGTTCCGTCCTCCTGGGGACGTGGGCGGCCCTGCTGTCCGCAGGTCCTGCAGCAGTTCCTGGGCTGAGAAGATGGACAGGAGGCAGGGAAGGGCACGGAGCTCCAGCTGCCTGACCCGCGAGGACGTTCAGGCCACGGGTGCCGTCCCTGCTGCCACTCACCGTGCTGCACGTGTGAGCACAGTGCACTCTCCAGGCTTTGCCTTTACTGCGTGTAAAGACGGCCAAAGGCGACAAGACACAGTCCGTACGAGTCTCACGGTTCACTGGAGGATCAAGTGAGAGTGCAGTAACTGAATGAGCTAAGCTGCATGATCCAAGACTGCACATTTAATTCAGCTGGTTGGTGCAAGGGTGTGACCCTTGTGCTTGTGTGTGCAGGTTGCTTGTGTGCAGGGCTTGCATGTGTTTATATTTGCATGTTTGTGCGTAGAGCCTTGTGCGAGAGCGCTGAGTATACTCCTCTGTGTGTTTCTGTGTGGCGTATTTGTGCCATGTGTTTGGGAACATGTATAAGTTGTATATGTGTTTGTGTGTGGCATCTGAAAGCACTGTGAAGTGTTATTTGTGTTTCTGTGGTGTGTGTTTACTTTTGTGTGTATGGCCTTGTGCATGTGGTGGGTTTGTGTTTGCCTTTCGGATTTCACGCGTGTGTCCGTGTGTTGTGTCTGCCTGTGGGAGGTGTATTTGGAGCCTGTGTCTGCACGTGTGCATATGTGTGTGCATGTCCATGCATGCATGCACCTGTGTGCATGTGTGTGCGTGTGCAGCCACACAGACAGGGAAGGTGTCCTTGGGTGCCGGGCAGACTGCTGGCTGCAGACCCCAGATGCAGGCGCAGCAGCCTTGGGCACAGAGCTGCCCGTGGAGAGGCTCGGTGTGACCGGAATGGGCCGGAAGTGGGAGGACCCAAGCAAGGGCCACTCGGGCTTCACGCTGGTGGTGGCAGACATGGTGACCAGTGATCAGCAGACAGGGCACGGCCGGGGTTGCTCCTTCTAGGGGCCCTTGGGGATGAGGAGCAGGGGAGGCCTCTGGAAAACTAGCCAGGTCCAGTGGGAAGGACGGAGCCCTGACAAGCGGTGGAGTTGGGGTGGACACACTTGTCTCTTCCTTTCTTTATAGTACTGGGGATTGAACCTGGGGCCTTCACACCAAGATACATGCCCAACCTTTTATTTGTACTTTTTTATTTTGGGACAGGGTCTCCTTAAGTCCCTAAGTGGCCCAACCTTGGTTCAAACTTAGAGTCCTCCCGCCTCAGCCTCCCAGAGTACTAGAATTGCAGGCATGTGCCACCCCATCCAGCCCACCTCCGTCCTCTAGCATTGGAAGACTCTTGCAAGGGCTTCGAGATACTTTACTACCCCCATAGTTGCATCCCTCTCAGCACAGTGGTTGTAGCTGCCCAAGGTTCAAAGGTCCTGCTGCTGAGGGCGCTGCTGTTTCTCTCCCTGGAGTCAGCTCTCCCCATGAGGAGACCCTAGGATGATCCTCTGGCCTCGGACGGGGCAACTC